AAAAAAAAAAAAAAAAAAAAAACTACTTGCTTCGACACTCGCCGAAGCAGTCTATCTTCAAACCGATTCAAGCTCCTTTGCAGATTCGGAAAATCTGAATCATAAGCAGTTTGAATAGAACTTTACGGGCAGACCTATATGTCTATACTTGAGTAGCCATGCGATTGAAATAATCTGTATTAAGTTTTCTTTCCTTCTAAGAAGCAACGATAGAATAAACAGTTGAATGCAATGCTCGAATAACTGGACAATGCATTTACAGGTACAAACATAATGAAATAAGTGGTATTCGGCCATTTGAGCAAGAAACCTTCAAACAACAGATAAGAGACTCAAACGTAAGATTCAGCTATTTTAGGCAGAAAATCAGCAAAAACATATCCACAAACAAGCATCTGCAAGGCCCATCTTGTTTCAAGAAACTTATTAGAGCCTTAACATAGAAATAAACAAGCAAATCATCAATTAACACTAACACTCCCAATCGAAATACCTCAATGTCCTCATCAGTCACCCCGTAATGCAGATTCGAAATCAACAGCTTGGTCCCCGTCTCAATCGACGAAACCCTAGCTCCCACTCGAGCAGGGAACCCGGTCGGCGCCACCGCGAACATGCCGTGGTCCCACTGATTCTCCGGTGCTCGAGCCTGAAAAAAAAAACAGAAACCCCCCAAGATTCAGCATCAAGAACCTGAAATGCAGCACCAAGCACAACAAGCTAAAAGCAGTAGAATCAGACGGCGCCGAAAGAATAGGGGGCGGCGCGGTTGGCGGAGCGGCCGGGAAAGCGGCGGGCGGGTCCCGGGCCGGACTGACGCGGGGCGGGTCGCGAAGTTTTGTTCTTGTTGATTAGGTCGTCGAGGGCCATGTCCAGATTCGCCATTTTTGGGCTGAGAAAATCACTTGCTTTCTCCAATAAATGAATGTGTGGGGACTGGGGAACCAACCAGAGGGGTTTTCGCGAAAATTAGGGCGAGGTGGGTTTGGAAATTTTGATAGTTTTAGGACTGAGAAATAATATTCATGATTAATTTATTAAGTGAGAACCTGGCGTCATTGTGGAATTGATGATGTCATAATCACCACATCGGTCAATGGGATTCTCGTTATTCAGATTTAACCCCAGCTTTCAAGGTAATTATTAACTTTACCATAAATAGTTATAGTCTTTTCGAATGTTTCCATTAATTGTTTAGCTTGTATTGGTGAAAAAACATTCTCTTGGGAGGAGCTAGGATTTTAAAATACCTGGGGTTAATGAAATTGCGATCTTTGATTTTTTTATTCAAACTCGGCGATTATAGTATTATTGCTAACCTTTTCCATTAACTATCTTTCAATGTAAATAGTCATTGAATACGCTAAAAATTCCTCTTCCATCTTATTACGAAGAACCGTCTTGACAAGTTTTATAGCTGAAAATGCTCACGTATGTTCTAGTCAAAGAACGAATTGATAGTCTTCTTTTTCATTTCTTGACCATCCATTATGATTGAAACTATCAAGTTAAAGAAAAATAGTAAAAACAAAAATAAAAATAAAAAGGTAACTCAAAGAAAATCAAGATTCTTAATTACTTCAAGCATCAACTTTAAGCACCAAAACTAATATTGACAACATAAATAACACATCAAGTAAAAGTAGCTAACTTCTGATCTTTGAACAAAACAAAAATCCATGAAACATCAACACCACTAAATCTTAATAAAAAATAAATAGAACCAATTATTTTTTTGATATGATAACACTAGGCACAAAATCTAACTTAAATATAAAAAGGGGCAACATTAAAGCTCAACTCCACATATTCTTGTACAAAAACAAAAGATCTTCTTTCTAAAGAGATTCGATTCGGAACTCTTATATGTCCAAGG